TAACTTGCCATCCTTGCCTGGTCTGGCCTACATGTGACACCAGACTCTCCACTATGTGGGTGATTGTTAGCTGCCCATGACTGAGCCAAGTCAATCAGTTGTATAGAGTAGGGCGATACGTACTTTCTGCCAACATGCTGTGAATGGATATTTTTTTAAAAAGTCCAGTTAAAGATGTCATTTACCATTTGTGCACAGATGTACTATCCACCAAAGGCTGCATTAATGCATCAGCTACAAAACTGTAATTCTTTCGGGAGCCAGTACAAACACAATGGGCTGCCTCCTGGACTGTAAAATTCTATGCTTCTATGTATTGATGTCTTCTATTTCACTTCCGTGGTGATGTGTATTTACTGGAAATGATTGGGGATGTAAAAAGATTTTTGGAATTTTTTTAAGTTGGCTTTGAAACTCTTATGAGTACCACTACTGTTCCATTCAATATGGGCAGATCTGGGAGGACAAAGCAGAATAATGATTTCTTGAAGCTTGTCTGACTGCCTGAAATCATAGTCATATGAATCACTAAACATGCACGTAAAAGTATAATGGTAGCACTCAGTCAAACTTGCTGTTTCTGTCTCTTCTGTCACATACTCTGCTCCCTCTCTCAACTATTCTGAGTGTGTCTGTCTCTCTCTCTCTCTCCTCTCTCCCCGACCCCCTCCCCACCATGTCTCTTTTTCTTTCTGTTTCTCTACCTCTCTGCATCTCTTTATTTGTCTTAGACTGTCTATTCTAGTGTCTCCCCTTCTAGGTGTCTCCTCCAGCCAATCCCTTCGTTGCTTGCCCTCTGCCACATTGTTCACCGGGCCCCCGCCCCACTAATCTGCCTGCTCGCTCGCTTACTCCCCTGACCTGCCCCTTTTGCCCCCTCGCCCTCTCTCTGTATTTCTGACACAGCCTGGCATTTGCCATTCAGATCAAATTGTTGCCGTGGCATTAATCCGATTCTTGCCCTGTTCTTCAAATGGTTTGGTAAGTCAGCCCTGTTCCTGTGTCAGATTAAAATTATCTTGCAATCAAAACTTCAGGTCTTGTGCTCCAATAGCAAGTTACTTTCACTTGCAAAATCTTGCTTTTATATAACCTCCAGAAGGTAGCAAATTATCTAAAGGGACTTCACAAGAAGTGTAATAACAAAAATAGATTCCAAATCAGAGGAAGTAGGAAGTGTAGCCAGAAGCCTGGTAATAGAAGTGAGGAAGTGAAAAGTGGCGCTGGTGCAGGTCCTGGAACTCTAGAGGGCCTGTATCCTCCAGTAAGAGGTGGGGTCCTGGGCCAGGAGCAGCACTGGAATCCATGGTTTCTGTTCCTGGCACTGATAGTGAGGAGTGGGGGAGGGTTAAGGGAGGACATTCTTGAGCTGAAAAGCTAAATAAGTATCAGGAGCAAGAGCAAGGTAGCGCAGGGATAGATTCAAGAGAAACTTTACACAGTAGAGAGGTCTGGGGTTTGTAGAGCTGAGGAGATCACGAAGACAAAAGAGGAGAAAGGCCTTGAAAGGAATGAGATATGAAGACAAGAATCTCAACCTCTGCTCAGGAGTAGGAACCAAAGTAGGTCAGTGAGGAAAAGAGAACGGGATGGGATACTGATTTCAAACGAACTGATTGTGAATGATGTAGAAGTTTGAACAGTGGAGTTGGGAGGCAAGAAAGGCAGCAATATGAGTGTTTCAGAAGCAGATGGGGTGAGGCAGAGACTGGCAATGTTCTGGACGTGGAAATAGAAGATGTATGTAGGGGAGGGGATATTATGCAAGTGGAAGAAAGTCTTGTCTAATCTGTAATATTGGAAACTGCCCTATCAGTGCATTTAATGGTATTGCTATGACTGCATTGAGTAAGGAATGTCGGGGATAATTGACAGCTAATATGTCCTAATTGGTGATACCCACCCAGGTGCTGCCAGAATTCCCTGCAGGCCCTGACATGTCTCCTTGACGAGAACAATGAGGAGCAACTCCCTGTTCCATCAACCGAGAGAATTAGATGCAGAACTGTTTCACAATTCTCTAGGTGAGACAGGCCACACCTAGAGTGCATTGTGCAGTTTTGGCTCCCTCACTTCAGGCAGCATATGTTTATATTGGATGCAGTTCAGGGAATTTCACTTAGCTGATTCCTGTGGTAAAGGGGTTGGTCTTATGAAGAATGTTTGAGCAGGTTGTCCCTGTACTGATTGCCTTTTAGAAGCATCAGAGGTGATCTTATTGAAACATAGAAAATTGAGGGGATTTGACAGGGTAAATGCTGAAAGGATGTTTTCCACTAATGGATAAATTTAGAATTAGTGGGCACAGCTTCAGAATAAAAGGAAGATGAGGAATTTCTTCTGACGTTCAATAGTGTTGTGGCATTTTCTACCCTAGAGAGCAGTGTCATATTCAGGGCTGAGTTAGTCCAATTTTTGCTTGACTAGGGAGTCAAGGGCTTGTGGGTGAGGCAGGAAAGTGGAGTTAAATGGCTGGAATCAGATGAGCCATGATCTTTTTGATTGATGAAGTAAGCTTGAGGAGCCTACTCCACTCTTGTTTCCTTTTGCTGTGTTTTCCTGCAATACTGACTTACTGTGTCTACTTGCCCTTGCTACATTGCCCTTGCTCCTGATAGTCATTTGGCTTTTGAGCTCAAGAATGTCCTCCCTTACCTCTCCCCAGCTCCTCACTATCGGTACCAGGTTCACCTCTTCCCAGATTCACTGACCTCTGGACATGTTTCAGAGAGACGTGGCAACTGTATCAGAATAACATTGGAGTGGATCCGTGGCAGATTCAGTAGAATGACTCCAGGGCTAATAGGGTTAAATGGCCAGGAGGGGTTGTGTAGAGTAGGTTGTCTTTCCTTAAGTGTAAATAAATTTAAGAGTTGATCGACTGGAGGTTTTCAAAGGATTTTATTAAGTACAGAGAAACTATTTCATCTGGTGACAGGGAGCCACGAAGAAATCAGAGAGTAAACCTCAATTAGAGCCAAGGGTGAAATCGGGAGTCACTTTGCAGAAGGGGAAGTGGAATTCTGGAGCACTGTCTCCTACGAAGCCAGGGGTGTGATTTGTTTTATAGCTAGTCATCCATTTATTGAAGCAGGAGTTAATTTGTCTTCAACTGTTTATTTGCATTTGTAGTTCAATACAAATTCTAGTCTGCTCTCTCTTCTTCCTGACCTACTGTAAATATGTGCTGCAGTGAGTATCTGTTCTGTTATCCCTGGACCATGGCCTGCTTTATTTTTAAAGGGATCATCATTTATAACATGGTCAGGATTAATTGGACATTTCAAAATTCACATAGGTTTTCGTTCAGCTGAGTTATTAAGGAATACAGAACAAAGAAGGGTAAGTGGAGTTAAAGTACAGATCGGGCTTGATCAGCTTGAATGGTGGAACAGGACCGAAGGGTTGAATGGCCTGCTCCTATCTACAGCTATCATCAAATATAATTAGATGTTGGGTTCCTTTGTCATCTCCCCGCAGTCTCATGCTTGCATTTTCCTTCCCCACCGCCCCCCTTTCTAACTTGTAACAACTTAGTTCCCTCACCATTCAGCAGTTGTGAAGACCACAAATGAGTTTCAATGTCACAGAATTATTACAGTAGAGAGTGGGAACGTTAGGCCAGTTGTGTCTGTGCCGACTCTCCAAGTAAGCATCTCACTTAGTCCCATTCTCCCATTTTCTCGACATAATTCTGAACTATCTTCGTTTTCAGGTAATGATCCAATTTCCTCTTGATCAGCTTAACTGAACCTGTCTCCTCCACACTGTCAGGCAGCGCATTCCATGTTCTCGGTCACTATGTGAAAATGTTTTTCCTCGTATCACCATTGCTTCTTTTGCCAATTATCTTAAATCTCTGTCCTCTGCTTCTCAATCCTTCCACCAACAAGAACTTTTTCTCCCTGACTACTCTGTCCAGACCTTTCACGATTTGAACATCTCTATCAGATCTTTCAACCATCTTCTTCAAGGAAAACTGTCCCAAACTTTCCAACATACCCACTTAACTGGAGCCTTTCCAGGGCTTTGAGAACTCTCTCTTTGTTTTCACCTAAATGTGACAGTCCTTTTAATTGATTGCATCCCTTTATCTTTCAGTTGCCTGGAAATCTGGATTCTCCATGTTCAGTGGGCTCCCTGTGTAGGTGTCAGTGAAGCATAAAAGATGCTGAAGGGGCTTGTTTGGATAGATTCAGATTGTCACCTGGGAGCTTTGCGAATGTTCTGACCTGGGAACGTTGATTGCAAGTTGCAGAACATTCCTGTTGAAAAGAGGGTCCATTGGAAAAATTTGTTTTTAAAAAAAAAAAAGTTTTACGCCGGCTGAGATACTTGATGAGTTAGTGAATGTACATTACAGTGGAACAACAACAACTTTATTTATATGGCATCTTTAACTGAGTAACAAGTCCCAAGGAGCTTCCAGGGGCATTATCAAACCAAACTTGACACCCAGCCTCATTAGGAGATATTAGACCAGATGGCCTAAAGCTCAAAGGAGAGTGAATGAGACAGGGAGGTAGGCCTTCAAAGGAAGGGAAAAATCTTGCATTATAGAAACCACCTTTCAGGATGTCTCATGAGGTTATATGCAACTGAAGTGCTTTTTGAAACATAATCATGGCTGTAACAGAGGAAAGAGATGGGTCAATTTGTGCACAGTAAGATCCCACAAGTAATAATTTGACAATGATCTGGCAGTCTGTTATTGGGCTGCTCACTGAGGGATAAAAATATTCTTTTTTTTTTTCCCCATTCTAGTTCTTTCCTGACCCAAAAGGTTATACTGCAATACCATTAAATCTTTGACCATGGATTTCTACACATTTTGTACACAGGTCTGTCCATTGCTATGGACAGATGATGAATTCTTAGATATAAAACCCTTGCTGCAGGAAAAGTTCATGTTTTGTACAACTACATTGTATATCTGGTACTGCTTTGAGAACTATATATTTAATGATCTGTTTATGATCTGTTTATGATTTGTTTTGCAGGCAACCTGGACAAGCACATTCAGCTTGAACAGTTAGTCGCCCAGTTTTTGGGTGTAGAGGCAGCAATGACATTTGGGATGGGCTTTGCAACCAATTCGATGAACATCCCAGCTCTAGTTGGGAAGGTGAGCTGCTGATTGTTGTCTGCTGGTCCGCATCCACCTCAGTGGTCTGAATTCTCTGGAATTTAGAAGAATAAGAGGCATTCTCAGTGAAGCATAAAAGATGCTGAAGGGGCTTGTTAGGGTAGACACAGATTATTTCCCGTAGCCAGACCATTGAACACGGGCCACAGTCTCAGCAAAAGGAGCTGAGATGAGAAATTTCTTCACTCTTGATCTTCATGTGATGAGTTTTTGGAATTCTCTGACCCAGACAGTTTTATGGAGTCTCCACTGTTGAATACATTTAAGACTGGGATAGATGGATTTTGGTGCCTCAGGAATCGAGAAATATGAGAAATGCGTAGAGTTGAAGCCCAAGAATAGCTATGATCAATTTCCCTTTAGGTTGAGTGCATGTACTGTGCTGTAAATGCATCTTCCCCAGAGACAGTAGAGGACTAACTGTTTCTAAGCCAAGAACATATGTAAAGACTAAGAGAAATGGAATCTGTCATCATGCATGTTGCAATTTTTTTACAAACCCCCAAGGAGAATTACGCTAACTCCACTGCAAAATAATTAAAGATGCATAGTTAAGTTCAAAAGCACCAGTTTACAGTTAATGAGCTAGATCTGTTTAATAATTTAAGACTCTAAAATCAGATATAGAGATTACCTCCCTACTCTATTATTATTGGAGAACATGTAAAAGGCCAGAAAGGGAAAGAGAAATTCTTTAATGTGTGATAGGATTTGAAAGCAGGGGAGTCTCTGTTCCTAATCTAGAATGTGACCACAGCAACCACTTTAGTACCCTCTGGATTTGGAGTTGTGTGGTGTTGAGAAAATTCAGTATTGAGTAACTCTGCCACTGAAAGGAATACGTTTACATGTGTCAGTCGTGGCTCAGTCAGCAGCACACTCCCTCTGCATGATTCCTGGTTCAACTCCCACTCCAGGGCTTAAGCACAAAAATCAAGAGATTTCATTGCAGTGCTGAGGGAGCTCTGCGCTATTGAAGGAAATGTTTACTGAGGTCCCTCGGGTAAAAGATCCCGTGATACTTTATCTGTAAGGGAACCAAAGCTTATTGGGGATGGGGGATGTCAGGGAAGAAAGTTAAGGCCACAATCAGATCAGCAGTGATCTTATTAAATAGTAGAGCAGGCTTGATAGGTTGAAATGCCTATTCCTGCAAATATTTCTTCCCTTATGAACATGGTTTGTACAGAAAAGAAACTAGTGAATGGTGATGAATAAGTAAAATGAACGTCCAGCATTACCTCTCCATTACTACTCTTAAATTTTCGACACTCTCTAAATTGTCAGACTGCTTATCTGATATCCAAAGTCTCCTCTCCAAACTCCTTTTTCTAGCTACTGACTCTATCCCTCTCATTGGAAAAATGTGACATTAAGCCATTCCATTCACAACCTTGACCCTGAGATGGCATACTAACTTCATCTTTTCTCCGTCACCAAGATCACTTTTTAAAATTTCTTTTACAGTAAGTGGTCATCACTCACAAGGCCAGCATTTGCTATCCATCCCTAATTGCACTTGAACTCAGTGACTTGCTCGGTCATTTGAGAACAGTTAAGAATCAACCACATTGCTATTGATCTGGAGTTCCATGTAGACCAGAAAGGATAAGGACGGCAGATTTCTTTCCCTAAAGGACACTGGTGAACCAGATAGGTTTTACAAGAAACTGTGGTTACGTGATCACTATTAGGCCACCCTTTTTTCCAGACTTACCCATGTCCGGAGTTCACAGTCCTTGGGCTCTAGATTATTAGCTGGTGACATTACAACAGTGCTTTCACCTACCCCATACCATCTCCCAATTTCATCCCTGTTTCAGCTCATCATCTACTAAAAAGACCATTCATGACATTGTTATTTCTAGACTAAACTTTTCCAATGGCTGATGTCCCACATTCTGTCCCCCCGTCATAAATTTGAACTCATTTAAAACACTTCCGCCCCCATGTTCTAACTGGCACCAAATTCCATTCCCCTATTAACCCAATGCTCCCTGTTAAGCAGGACACTGATTTTAAAGTTCTTAACCATTTTTTTTAAAATGCCTCTGTGAACCCACCCATCTCTAATTCTGTAATATATTCCAATCCACAACCCTCTGAGATCTCTGCAGTCCTCTAATTCTGACCATTCGAGCATCCCTGATTTTAATCACTTTGCTGTTGGCTGGTGTGTCTTCAGTTATCTAGACACTAAGCTTTGAAGTTCCCTCCCTAAACCTCTACTTCGCTATTTCATTTTCCTCCTTTTTGAAACTTCTTTAAATTTACCTCAGCGACGGATTTTGACCAGCTGCCGTAACATCTCCTTATAAGATTTGGTGTCAGACTCTGTTTTATAATGGTTCTGCGAAGCATCTTGGGATGCTTTATTACTTTAGAGGTGCTTGATAAATTTACATTGTTATCGGCATCGTCATTAATCTATTTGACGAAACTGTCTTTCGGCATAATTGGTCAATTTTCATTTGAAGGGAACACTGTTGAAATGATTATTTTCCTGCAGTGTGATGTTGCAATTCATGTCAAAACTCCAAAACCGTGGCTGAAATGCCTCAATGAAAGTGACACGCAAGTAATCATGCTGGCTTCTGATAAAGAGAAGTTAATATTAAATCACTGCTTCATTCCTCTCTAAAACAGTTATGTCTCTTGGGATGCATTGACAAACAGCAAACAACAGCTCCCCTGGAAATTTTCCATGCCCAGCCGGCGAAAACCTAACAGAAATCACAGTGAACATTTAAGGTCCCTGCTGTCCTTTACTTTGGCGCCAACTTGCCCAGCAATAACCTATCAACTCTTGACATGTTGCCATCATGAGGAAGATAGCAGCTTTATCTATTTTGGGTATACATGCTACACACAATGAACTCTCCAAAAGCAGGTGCAGAACAGGCAGGAGGCCAGATAATAGCGCTGTCTACTCTGCAGAGTGTTCAACCATAGGAGGACCTTGACTATTGGATGGCAAATTACACCCCTTGTTCTCTGTTGTGAAATCTGCTGAGACTGAGAGTCAAATCAACAGAATAAAAGTCTCCTCAGAGTAATTAATTTGAGGCAGCTTATCATTCCAGGTGATAACCCTAAGCAGCTTCCAACTCTCATACTCCCTGTTGGCAATTCTCATGATCCCTCAATATAAGATTTTTCAAATATTAATTTACAGGATGTGGCTATCACTGTCAAGGTCAGCATTTATCCCTCACTTATCCCCCAACTGTCCTCAAGAATATAATGGTGCACTAACTTCTTGATCTGCTGCAGTCCATGTGGTGTGGGTACACCCACAGAGATGATAGGAAGAGAATTTCAGGATTTTGACTGTGACACTGTGGCTTAGAGAGGAACTTGTAGGTGATGGTGTTCCCATGTATCTACTGCTGTTATCCTTCTGGGTTGTTGAGATCATGGTTTTGGAAGGTACTTTCAAAGGAGCCTTAGTGAATTGCTTCTGTATGCACTGCTGCCACAGTGTGTTGGTGGTGGGGGGAGCGAATATTTTTGGATGTGGTGATGATCAAGTGGGCTACTTAGCCCTGAATTGTATTGAGCTTCCTTGAATGTTCTTGGAATTGCACTCATCCAGCAACGTGATGGAAACTCCCCACGTGCAAGAGTTGTGTCTTCTAGATAGTGAACAAGCATTGAGGAGACAATTTCTGTTACAGGATTCCCAACCTCTGGCCTGTTCTTATAGCCATGGTATCTCTACAACAGGTCCAGTTCAGCTTGTGGTCCTTGGTGACCCCCAGAATGTTGATCATATGGCGGTTCAGTAATAATAATGCCATTGAACATAAGAAATAGGAGCTGGAGTAAACTGTCAAGAAGAAATGGGATATTGCTAACATTTAACTCATCTAGAATAGAGAAAGATTATCACACTATCAGAGAGTCATACAGGACAGAAACAGACCCTTTGGTCCAACCATAATCCCAAACTAAACTAGTCCCACCTGTCTGTGCTTGGCCCATATCCCTTCAAACATTTCTTACTCATGAACTTATGTAAATGTACCCGCATCCACCACTTCCTCTGGAAGTTCATTCCTCGCACTCACCACTCTGTGTTTAAAAAAAAAAATGCTCCTCGTGTCTTTTTTAAAATCTTTCTCCCCTCGCCTTTCAAAATATGCCTCCTGGTCTTGAAATCCCCCACCCTAGGGAAAAGGCACCTTATCTATACCCCTCATGATTTTATAAACCTCTATAAGGTTACCTCTCAACCCCTACACTCCATCAAAAAAAAGGTCCCAGCCTTTCCTTATAACTTAAACCCTCCATTCCCAGCAACATTCTGTTAAATCTCTTCTGAATCCTCTCCAGCTGAATAATATCCTTTCTATAACAGAGACCAGAACTGGACACAGTACTCTAGAAGAGGCCTCACCAACGCCCCATACGATGTCAACGTAATGTCCCAACTTCTATACTCAACGGCCTGAGCAATGAAGGCAAGCATGTTAAATGCCTTCCTAACCACCCTATCTATGCATGATGCAAACTCCTCGACCCCTCTGTTCTACAAAACTGCCAAAGGCCCTACTTTTAATTGTATACATCTTGCCTTTGTTTATTTTCCCAAAATGCAATACCTTGTATTTATCCAAATTAAATTCCATCAGTTTGAATCACGTTAATGTTAATCTTCAAATATGGCACACTAGTCCCTACATGCTTCACAATCATTGAAAGATGAAAGTTTCCAGCACTTCACAAATGATATGATAATTAGGGAGGATTAGGGTTATTTAATTTTTGAAAATCAATTCTGTCTTGAATTTTTACTCATGAATGTTCAGAACTGTCTCTGTATTTCCAATTCTACTTAACCAGTGAAGATTCCTGGTTAAGACAGAAATCATTTTTATCTCAAATCTAAAATTTGTACGTTGTTTTAAAATTGTCACACTGAAGTGAAACAGTCAGTTAATTGTAAGCTCCAGGATTGTTACACCTTCTCAATGTCTGTCTGTGCAGGGCTGCCTTATTCTGAGTGATGAGTTGAACCACACTTCTCTAATCCTGGGTGCTCGTTTGTCAGGAGCCATCATCCGAGTGTTTAAACACAACAGTGAGTACTGACGTTGCTTCAGTCTTTTACACCTATTACTGACTGAACCTGGGATGAAGAGATTACCTTATGAGGAAAAGTTGGATAGTTGGGCCTTAGTTTAGAAGAATTAGAGATGATCTTATTGAAGATCCTGAGAGGTCTTGACGGAGTGGTTCTGAGATGATATTTCCACTTGTGGGACAGACCACAGCTTCTGGATACAGTTTAAAACTAAGTAGTTACCAATTTAAGGTGGAAATGAGGAGAAATTGTATCTCCATGAGTTATGAAACTCTTTTCCCCCAGAGAGCAGTGAAGATGGGTTGTTGAATATTTTTACAGCAGAGGTAGGCAGTTAGTTGACAAACAAGCAAGTCTGAGGTTATCAGGATAGGCAAAAAGATGGAGTTGAGACCATCTTCAGATCAATCATAATCTTAATGGTGGAGCAGGCTCAAGGGGCCAAACAGCCTATTCCTGCTCCTAATTCCCATATCCTTGTGAAAACGCGGAGGTTTGGTTTGGTTTGTAGGGAATCAACGAGCTTCAGAATCAAGGGCGTGGAGAAGTGATTATAGTTTTGGAAATTAGTAATTCTTAAATTATCAGTGTTGCAGGTCAGATACGTTTTAAACACTTTTCAGCTTCACATGGCCTTAGGCTAGATTTATGGTTTGCGTAGAACCATGGAACTCAGCCTATCATGCTTCTATTGAGTTGTCCAGTTAGGTCTGTGACTCCACTACTTCCATCATCCTGTAATTCTTCTTTTCTCCCTTTGACTATTTATCTGATTCTCTATTGACTTTCGCTATCAGATGTGGTTTCACCATCTACTCGGTCAACTTATTTCAGATCACAAAAATTTGCTTTGGAAGCAAAAAGCTTTTCCTTGTCTTGCATCAGGTTTTTGGTTGCGTCAGTTTAAATGTATCTCTTTTAGTTACTAACCCCTCTTCCACAAGGAAAGGTTTGTCATTCATCACTCTTATTAAAAATGCTCATGATTTTGCAAGGAGTGAATATCTGTATTCAGCAACATGTTCTCCTCCCCCTCCCCCACCCCCGCAAAAAAAATGTCAGTAGACTGCGACAGGCTGAAGAAAGTGTCTGCATGCGTGGCTGATGACACCACAATGGAGGTAAGGGGAAGGTGGAGACTGGGATTGGCATAGTGGAGCTTCCCATTCATGGCAGTGTCTTTGGAATGGGTCCACCTGACTGCTGCTCATTCACTGTCTCCTGCTGCTACACTTCCTCGGGAATGGTCAAATGGGCGCTGCTGGGAAAGATTTTAGAAAAGAACGAGGGCATATCATGGTGGAGGCTGTCTGTTCAACTGTGTAGAAGATTATGAATGAAAATGGCAAGTGGTGTTGTGGAGGAGGGATAGGTCGTGGTATCACCCTCTGACTTCAGTGTCCTGAGGAAGAAGGTGCGGGGTGGCATTTAGAAGAGGTGTCATTGGCCCTGTGGGGAGGGTGGAAAGATGATGTCATTAAGATGCCTCCAGCAACAGCGTATAGTCACCGATTAGTCCCTCAGGTGGTTCTAATTTGCTGCCCAGTGCTGCCTTCAAGTACCCATCTCTGGCAAGGACACTTGGAGGGGCAAAACCTCAGCAGGCCAACCCCAAAGAAAGTCACTGGGAACCACAGGCTCCACAGGATCTTGGGTAATTCCAAAAAAGCACGAGACGCGAACAATATTCAAGTTCTTTTTTACCATGCCATTTACATGAGTGAAAATTGTTGTTGTATTGCATTCCAACCTTTGCAGAGCTGTTGAGCAGCTCTGTAAATTTTTAATCAAGGTAACGTAAGCACTTGCAGCATTGCCAAGTGATCTGCCAGTGAGGGATGGGAATTGCTCCTGCAGCGTTTCTAAAGTTGTCTTTTAGCCAAATGTAGAGCCGGTGTGATAGGATCCCAAGCATGCATACTATTTCGGACATGCCGACGTGCAAACAGAAAGGTCCCAAAGCCAGGCAATAGATTGAAACCTGGATTACTGGAATTGTGAGGATCTAATGAGCTAATGATGTTGAAATCTTACATCATGATATGGTGAATGTTATAGGTGAGTTATTAAACAGAATGTCTGTGAGGTCCTTTTAGGCAACTTTAAACCTTAATTTTGGATTCGCACAAGTTGGAAGCAAATTGTAAGGAATGTAGGAAAGCAAATCCCATAAGTGTTTCATTTTTCTATATCCTTCATTGAATGTGGGTGCCAATGGCAAGGCCAGCGTTCATTACCCATCCCTAATTACCCTTGAAATGAGTGGCTTGCTAGGCCATTTTAGAGGGCCGTTAAGAGTGCACCATGTTGTTATGGGTCTGGACTCGCAAGGAGGTCAGACCAGGTAAGGATGTTAGTGGGGTTTTTAAATGAGTCATGGTCACCATCAGCCTTGTATTCCAGAATTATTAATTAAATTTCACGAACTGCATGGTGGGATTTAAATCTGTGCATGCAGTGCTTTAGCCTGAGCTTCTGGGCTGTTAGTCCAGTGACATTACTGCTGCACACCCATCTTTACATGTTTAAGACATTACTGTTCACATGTCTAGGTGCTAGAATTATTGCCATCAATTGTGTGATTCATTCCAATTTTCCAACAGTTCAGCATTGCCCCTATTTCGTGCTGTTTTCAGTCACTCAGCAAGGTTCACACAAGGTTAACAGGGTGTGGGGTTAACCGGATTACCCCTCAAAAGTAGCAGGGTCTGACTTGATAGGCTAAATGGCCTCCTCTCTGTCCTGTACACTCTCATGATTCTATGATGTTTACTCACAGATATAAGGGTTTTTTTTTTGTTTGGTTGCCATGCCAGTCTTGAACGCAAGTTAGCAATGCAGGCCCATCACAATCCCACTGGGTACTCTGGCGTATCATTTTGTGCTGCTACATTACTTCTGTAGTTAGTGTTTTTGATGCTGTGGAGGCCACCTGGAGGACATCAACTAGTTGACCAAATTAATGATTATATAACCAGGACAACTTTGCAGTGATCTAGGAATGGAAATGTGCATGCCTGATTTGTTTTTTTAACCCTGAAGGTTCATATCTTTTCATTCATTACTGTTTCGGTTGCTCCTTCCTAACACAACCTTTAGAGATATGCCTATTGATTTTAAACAAAACCAGCTTTCTTTTTGGTTTCTGAGTAGTCTTTTGGTCAAATTTAGACAGAGTCACTGGCAGGAGCCTCATTGCATTGGCAGTAAACAAAGTAACATATCTGCACTGTCAGTTTCTAAATGCAAAAACAGCTTGGACAACAACAACTCATTTATACAGCACTTTCAATGTAGCAACCTGCCTCTGAAGGCATCTCAGAAAAGTTATCAAGCAAAATTTGACACATCAGGGTACTAGGGCTAGTGACCAAAAGTTTGTTTAAAGACAGAGTGAGGTGGGAGTTTAGAAAGGACATGCCAGAGCTTAGGACCAGGTTTTTTTGATCACTTGCCCTTGTGTGGTTCAGAATCAAATTTGGCTTGTAGAAGTTCTTATGAAAGGCCTTACAATGTTTTCCTGTGCTGAATTATCTATTTAAATATGAGATGTTGTCAATTTTGCGTGAAATATGAGCACGGCAACCTGTGCCCAGGTGAACACAACATGCAATTGGGGGTTACCATTGATGCTTATACTAAACTGAACCTGCCATATAATTTCTGTGGCTATAACAGTTGTCAAAGACTGAGAATTTTGCAGCAATTAACTCACCTTTTGTCTCGCCAAAGCCTGCCTCACTATCTACGATACTCAAGGTAGGTGTGTGATGGAATGCTTCCAAGTTGTCTGGATAAGTGCAACACCAACAACACTCAAGCTTGATACCATCCAGGTAAAACAGCCCACTTGATTTGCACCCCATCCACCATATTCAACATTTACTTCTTTCACCACCGATACAATGCAGTAATATGTAGCAGATATATGGTGCTCTGCAGCAACGCACCAAGGCTCTTTCAACAGACCTCAAATCTACAACTTTTAGTTCTCACTATGGGACTGTAAACTGGAAAGTTTCAGTTTTAAAACAGTAGCTTTCACTAACTGAAGAGTCGACTAGAATGGAGGGAAAGGATTGGTTACTTGAGAGCTGTGTCAAAATTTACGGGTTGCACCTGAACTGGAGGGGCACCAATATCCTGGACGGGAGGTTTGCTAGAGCTCTTTGGGAGGGCTTAAATTAGTTTGGCAGTGGGATGGGAACCAGACTACAGATCAGAGGATGGGGTAGCTAGTGTACAGGCAGGTAGAGCAAGCAGAGAATCTGCAGGAAAGATAAGCGGTTGATAGGGCAAAGTGGCAGTCAGTGCGACGGGTTGAGGTGTGTCTGCTTCAATGCAAGAAGTGTCAGGAATAAGGGTGACGAACTTAGAGCACAGATCAGTACTTGGAACTATGATCTTGTGGCCATCACGGAGACTTCGATAACACAGGGGCAGGAATGGTTGTTGGATGTTCCGGGCTATAGGTGTTTCAAAAAAAAAAATAGGGAGGTAAAAGAGGTGGGGGAATGGCATTGCTAATCAGAGATGGTATCACAGCTGCAGAAGGGGAGGTCGTGGAGGAGGGTTTGTCCACTGACTCAGTATGGGTGGAAGTCAGATACAGGAAAGGAGCAGTCACTTTATTGGGAGTTTTCTATAGACACTCCCCCAGTAGCAACAGAGACACTGAGGAACAGATTGGGAGACAGATTTTGGAAAGGGGCAGAAGTAATAATGTTGTTGTCATGGGTAACTTCAACTTTCCTAATATAGATTGGAACCTCCTAAGTGCAAATAGTTTGGATGGAGCAGATTTTGCCAGGTGTGTCCAGGAAGGATTTCTGACTCAATATGTAGATAGGCTGACTAGAGGGGAGGCCATATTGGATTTGGTGTCAGGTGTCAGATCTCTCGGTGGGAGAGCATTTCGGTGATAGTGATCACGACTCCCTGACCTTTACTGTAGTCATGGAGAGGGATAGGAGCAGATGGTATGGGCAAGTATTTAA